ATGAAGTTTCAATTGCTGAAAAAAAAAATTCAAAATATCAGATTGCAAATTAATTAATAAAAGAGAACTTCCCCATTGTGTAAGCCCAAGTTATATTATAATTTATTTTAATTTGTATATTTAAAAAATTTCTTTGTAGTATTTGAGACTTCATGGCTTACTTTAGGTTTGCCTGAATTCCCTTTTTCTATACTTTACATTTTAAAATGGTTATAGAGGTGAAAGAGAATAGGTGACGAAATGTTTCTCCAGTAGTATGGCGTCCTATTAAATATTTATATTTTAATAAATAATGGTTGGGAAATTTTGAATTGTAGGGTATGGAACTTTGTACATCTTTTTAAAGTATATAAAATAACATAGCAAAATGCAAAGTTTGAGCAAAATTGGTCGAATAGTTTGAGAAATTGAATTTTAAAAAAATCGTATATATAAAATTCAATTTCCTACAAACTATTCAACTGATTTTGCTTAAATTTCGGATTTTGCCATGAAAAATTAAAAGCTTTAAAATGATGCAAAAAAATTGTATACCTTGCAATTCAAAATTTTAAGATTAAGTTCTAGAACGGGAAGAGCCGATCATTAGATCAAAAATTATTCAGGATGGCTCATTTATTTTTTAGAGCACTATACCTCATTATTGAACTATCGCTTTAATATTTTACGCATGATTAACACTAAATTATCTGTTAGAATGAAAGCAGATCAAACAAAACAGAGAATTGAAATATTCATATCAAAGCCGTTTGAATGGTAAACATGTTATGTTACACTACAGAACAAAAATGAAGTCCTTGAATTCTTATGGGAATGAACTGTTCCATAACAGTTGTAAAAAGGCAAAACAAAATTTAGTTTCAGAATATGGAATAATAAAAAATTGTTGAATGGTAAACGTGTTATGTTACACAACAGAACAAAAATGAAGTCCTTGAATTCTTATGGGAGTGGACTGCTCCATAACAGTTGCAAGAAGGCAAAACAGAATTTAGTTTCAGAATATGGAATAACAAAAAATTATCTTTCTAATAAGAAAATACATTGAAAAGCATTTCAGATTTGTACTAATGCTTATCTCATATTCATTATTTTTTTTCAGTAGTCAGGATAATAAGTCTAGAGGTGACTATAAATTACACATAACTAATTCGACATAGTTATCAAATAAGTGCATACTTTCTCTGATACCCTATCAAAACTTGATCCTGATAAAGTTAAAAAAAGTCCTCTTTTTTTGCCATCTCTCTCGAAATTTTTAATTTTATAAAACCCGTTTATCTACAGTAGAAAAAATATTTATTACTTTTTGTTATTCGAGAACTATTTTTTATCCTTTCATGGGAAAAAAATGCTTGAATTTTAATTGTTTACATCTTTATAAACTATGCAATGCCAAACCCCAAAATTTGATAATAATTTGTTAAATAATTCTAGATATAACATTTCAAAAAAAGAACTTAACTTATTTCTCAACGAATTTAACTTATTTCTCAAGAGCTATTAGACCAGTTTCATTTAAATTTGCATTCGCCATTTAACATTAGATAGTTTAAACGACGTAAAAACTATACATTTTATGACTTAATTTTTTTAACATTATTAAATAAAATAAATTATTTTATGCCCCGCATCATCGTCGGATAAATGAGATTTATCACCCTTCTCAAAGAAATTTCGATTCTTTTAAAAAGTTCTTGAAATATGGTGAAATAAGCAAAATGTGAAACTATCAATAAGGGTATAGCGAAAAAAAAACATCCTGAATGAAGCATAAATGAAAGTACAGAAATGGACATAATATAGTTTCCGTTCTATAAATAAGAACCTTCCTCTTTGTCTCAAAAGAGAGTCCAGAAGTAAAGAGAAGTAGTTTAACCAATAGGGGCAGAGGAACAAGTTTAAACAAGATAACAAAAGATGGGAAATAAGAAACAGGTGCGAGGGGGTTTAGCAGGAACCCTAGGAAGCAAATGCGAAAGATTAAATTAAAATAGATTTCTATGTGTAGGGAAATAGTGGGGTACAATAAAGATCCTTAACTAAATCATTAGAATATGGAATGATTCCAAAAATAAAGTTTGATAAATGAAGAGCAGCCAGAAGAAAACTCAAACCTGTTAGTAGAATTGCAGAGCGATGTAAGGCGTACTCTTTAATAAGATGTTTAGTTCCCCAAATATGAAAGAGGACTACCCTAAACAAATGCGAGATCTAGATTATCTATTTCAACATGGCTAAAGTGGAACTAATATAATTTCCTTTTAAGGCAACCATTAACGGAAACGTTAGTGACTAACTTAAAAAGGGGCAATTTTGTTTTTATTTGGTTTGAACGTCATCGTATGAAGCTCTTTTACAAACTCATACGAGTCTTTGACATTCATTCTAGAAAGAGGGGATAGAGTGGAAAATCAGTTTACTTTCACTTTTTATAGAATGAGTGATGGCTTACCTATAAGTTATCTTTTCAACCTTTTCATAAATGACGTGTATATGTACTACTTTTAAGTGAAACTCTGATTTAATAAAGTTCTCTTTTTATAGACGATATGTGGACGATTGTTTCACATTGATGGACAATGCTCATGTTTTCAGTATCGTGAATTGTATAGATCCCTTCATAAAATTAGAGAATAGTGCACCTTTCGTAAACTTTCTTATTACTCCTCATTGGCATCAATTTCACTCACTGTTTTTATAACCGTCGTTGAACAGCCGACCCAATTTCCGGTTTACGACTACTAATATTTAATTCCGTATTTTTGTAATTTTGAACGCAATCTAGAAGTCAAGAGAATTCCTGGATCAAGCATTGGGGAAAATTACCTTCGTGGAAGATTTTTTTTAATAGAACTAACCCGCATTTGCGTTATATGGAGAGGAACACCACGAAATCCGTCCACGGTTAGCCTGACAAGGGGAATCTTACTCATGATCCGTCGACCACTGAGAATATTTTACGTCATCACTGCAGTTGGCGCGAGACGGGTGCGGAATTCGAATCGACCAGCCATCGCTGGGATTCGAACCCGGTTCACCTCATTGGAAGGCGAATGCTTTATCCTCCGAGCTGTCAAGTCTTTTTCCTACTTATTTATTGCTTTTTCTGATATCAAAAACCCAAAGTTTTGTTGCATTTTACGCATTAAATATTTAATAAACAATGTTAATTTCGAAATAATATTAAAAATAACAACTAAAGTAATAGATGCAAGTTACAAGCTTCTGGCTTGATTTTCTGGCATAGGGTGTTCAAAAAAATTTGTTTTCTTTCACTATTTATTGTCAGACCCTCAAACTTCTGAAAATTTAAATCTTATTGCTAAGTTTGAAAAATTGCATGATCTAAACAACTCTAAAGTTACAAAACAATCTTCTGAACATTTCTTCAGAAAATGAAAAAAAATGTCGAAAGCTGAAAATGTTTTTTTCCATTATTGTCGGGAAGTGTATGTAATTAACCTTATTACTCATTTATGAAATATAAGATTTTATTGGCATTGTCTCTTGTTTTACTTGAATTTATAATTCTTAAAGAATCAAATTGAATGCAATTTAAATACTTTTGCAATAATTCAGTAAATAATACATTGATTCTTTCCTTTTATACAACTAACAGTATTATTGCTCATCCTATTTCTAAAATTTAAAAAAATCTTTTCCGATTGCATGGTTGTTGTTGGTTACTTGCAGCCTAAGGCTATCGACTGCCGTTTTCTTTCCAATATTATTGATTCCATAGCAATCCAACAAACTGTCTAATTGTAATGTTAACAAATTGATTGTTTGATCTTATCCAAATATCAGTTCCCAAATTACTAAGATTTTGAACAAATTTCAGTTCGAAGTCGTTTTTTTTCTCGGTAAATAAACTGAATTCCACCAATTTTATAGACCCCATTGCTGATATTATTAGTAGGGGTATTTATCAAATTTCTTGTTAATGTGGTCTTGTGTATATGGACAAACTAAACGTATTCTTAAACTTCGATTTAAAGAACACGTAAGATATGTCCGAATTCAGGATATTAAACTATCGCCTTACGTAGATGATCACAGGTTTGAGATTTTTTCCCCAGCTAAAATGATTCTTTATCTATCGAATTTGAATTTTGGTAATCATTCCAGATTTCAAGAAATTCTAAAAATTTAGTTTATGATCTTATTCTAATTTAATCTATTCTAATTTAATCTTTTGCACCCAGAGGTTTCAGTCAAATCCCCTCACAACTGTTTCATATCCCCCTTTTTTTATCTTCCTCAAACTTGTTCCTCTGTTCCTATTGGTTAAACCACTATGCACATGTTTGTCTCTTTACTTTGACTATCATTTGGTGTTTAGACACAGAGAAAGGGCCGATTTTATAGAACCAAAAACATCAATTTCTGTACTTTCATTTGTGCTTTACTCAAACTGTTCTGTTTAGTCTATTGCAATTAATCTAATAATTTAAACTTTCTGAATCCTCATTTTGATAGAAAAGAATCCGAATATGAAGGGGGCGGGGGGAAAGGTACATTTATTTAGAGAATGTATGTTTTTGTGTTTCGTACTTAATAGTTAGCATTAATTAGTTAATATATAATGTCATAATTAAGATTGAAGACGAGAACAGATATAATTTAAGGGTCCACTCTACATAGTTACTTTATCGGGATAACAGCCAGAATTATGGCAAAATTACAGGAGAAATTTCTTAGATAGCGAATTAATTTATGAATTATGGTGATTTAAGAAGACTATATTTATTTCTCTGCGGCTGCAAAGTGTCTGTTTCAAACACAAAAGGAGTCGAAATTCTGAGCTCATTCGTTTTATTTCTCAATATTTCAAAAGCTAACATTATTATTAATCTTGTTAACTGAAAACTCTTTTTATAATTATTTAATGATTGAATTAAAAGTTCTTGCTACAGTAGAAGAAACTTTGGAGCACTAAATACAGAGAAAACAAGAAATACCACACAAATGAGTAAACATTTACTGTAAAAACTTACCTTTCCGAAGCTTCCAGTACCTAATAGTTTCAGAAAGAGAAAATCATCGATGGTGTATTTTCGAAAATTAAGCTTTTTTGGAGTCTTTGGAGGGCTCTCATCCAAAGATAATGTCGAAAAGTTTGTGACAATTGTCGAATTTGAGACAGTGGAAGAGAGTCTTTCTCGCTTCTCCACCCCATTCGAGAATCCTCGTAAAGAACTCTTCTCTAGAAATAAAAAAATGCAAAAATTACATTTCATAACTAGCTGAGTCAGAAAAGACTGAAAGAAATGATTTTAAGCTAAACATCTATTCGGTTGGTTAGCGTAAAAATGTTAAAAAATTATTAAAAGTAATATCAATTAAATGTTTTATAACTTTGGTTATATTATTCCTAGGTTCTCTTTGTTCAAGTCTTTAAGACTTTTTAATGCCAATGGAGGCATTACATCGATTATAATTTTCTTGTCATAGAGATGACAATTGGTAATGAATACATGAAATACCTTTTTATTACTGTCTCCTTAACTTTGAAAAATTTCAAGGAAATCGTAAGATCTCTGGGCGCTAGTACTTAAGAGATCCTAAATGTCTTGGACTTCAAGCTAAGTTTTCTTGATATTTTTTTTTAACACTAAACAATCTTTTGATTATATAGTATTATTAGACAGCATAATACCTTGATAATTTCCCCCCAAAACTTTAGAGGAATAAAATGTATTTTGTGGTATTGAGTAAGTAATTTAAAACTGCACGTTTCTCAGTTTTTAGATTTTTAAAAATTTAATTTCATTACAGTTTAAACTGACGAAAACCCATTTGGATGGTGCAAGAAAATTCTGTAATTGCATAAATAAAAGAGACACTTATTAAAAAAAACAGGTAATTTTATACTAAATTACCTATTAAAAATTGCATAAATGTTGACTGCAAAACTGCTACCGCTCTCTCAAGTTGTGAGTGTATGGATGCCTTGTATTTTGCATGTATCTAAAGTACTGCCAAGTGGAGTAAATATCCAGTTTGTTTGTGAAAATCGAACGAAAAGGATTAAAAGCATTCTTTCCCATCACCCTATTGGTCGGCCTCTTAAAGAGTAATTCTGAAACAAATATTATATCTTTCAACTGGCCTAATTGGGACATTCAAGATGAGATGTGGAAAAGTATTGATGTACTTTGCATATTTACATTTACTAAAAAATTTACTGAAAATTAGAGTCCATTGCTCTCTTCGGCTGATTACTCTTACATTGTTCGCCACCTCATCAATTACATTACATAATCATTCAAAAAGATCAATCTCGATAAAAGTGTATAAGCTCTTTTTAATAGAGGAATTTTTATAATTTAACACTTTTAATCACAGTTTCACCTATTAATATCCTTCCCACTTAATTATTTTAGTATTTTATAACCGTCGTTGTGAGCAGCTGACCCAAATCTTTGGGTTTACGACTGCTAATGTTCAACTCCAAAGCCTTGTAATTTTGAACCCAATCCAGTAGACAAGGGAGCTCCTGAATCAAGTATTGTGAGACATTTTGCTTTCGTGTTGGACTCTAAGGATGGAAGTAACCCGCATTTGCGTTACACGGAGAAGAAAACCACGAAAATCACTCACGGTTAGCTTGACGGCAAGAGGACTCTAACCCATGATCCGTCTACTACTGAGGATATTATTTCGTCATCACTATGGTCGATGCGAGCCGGGGTGCGAAATTCGTATAGACCAGTTATCGCTGGTATTCGAACCTGATCACCTCATTGGAAGGCGAATGCTCCTTCCCCTGAGCCATCCCGGCTCCTTCCCACTCATTTATTGTTTTTTCTAATATAATATTAAAAATCAAAAGTTTTGTTGCATTTTACGCACTGAATATTTAATAAACAATGTGAATTTCAAATAAGCCCATAGGACTTTCTGATGTTAATTTTGGACTACGGCTGAAAATCTTCGAGAATCCATGGTCTAAAAAAAATACGAGTTACCAAAAGTCACAATACATACAAAATGATAGGAATTACTATTTTCCCACTTCACTTATGCAAGTTTAAAAATATCTCCCTTTTGCTTTCTTTTTCTTTCTTTGAAAATCTTTCCCGGAATTACACGCATCAAAAATTGAATTAATTAAAACTGCTAAAGATACGTAAAAGGTTATATGTAAAAATAAGTAAATACAAAAAAAATGATAATTTTCACATTAAAGAATATCTGAGGAAAGACAAGAAGATTAAAAAGGGTGAAAAATAACTGTTGAGAATGAATGAAAAAAAGAAATGGGGGGAAAGGATGAAGACTCAGTTTTTGGAAAACATATATACAAGTGGTAAATAGAAAGATAGGAAAAGAAATAGAAAAATGCCACCGAAAAGAAAGAAGAAAATCAGAAAGAGATGGAAAAAGGAATACTAACTTTGTCAAGAATTTAATAAAATACTTATAAAATGAAAATAAATAAAATGGAATAAAAAACTGAAATTTGCCAAACCTTTTTTAACTTTATCCAAGACTTCAGCCAATAATTTTTGGTTGACACCACATAAATTTGGCATGAACTTTTCACATTTCTGATGACATGTTATGTTACATTCTGTTGCAAAAAATAATATAAAAAGTTATAGCATTTTTAAAATAAAAATCAGAGTTTTTGGAGAGAAGGAAGAATAATTTTTTTGCATTTTGAAATCCTAATTTTCCATAACATTTGTTAATTTTCAAACTTTCCTGAGCTTTCCATATTCAAAATATTTAAGAAATTTTATAACAATAAAATTTAGATATAATTAAATGATTAATTACTAATTTAAAAGGATTCCGGAAAGAAATATTCTGGTTTTTTTTTTAAAGACATGCCATTAGTTTTGTTGTTTAAAAATAACAGTGTTTTATTGTTTAAAAATAATAAATTGCAATTTTTAATTAAAATTTTTTAAGAATTAATAACAGAAAACTTACGTAATGTTGCGCAATATTTTCAATTCCATCAAAATAAAAAACATTTTTAAAAATAAAATTTTTTAAAAGTTACTGCTGTTAATGAATAAATTTATTATAGTTATGCTAGAGCAAATTTTAATCCGCGAAACAATGTATTTCAAGCATTCAAAATCTTTGAGTTAATTGGCAAATTTAAAGTGTTATCTTAGGGTTGTTTCACGATACTGTACAATAGAGCGTATTTTTATTTATTCGTTTTCAATAAAAAGAATTTTTTAAATATAAAATTAAGAAATGTTTCGTTGTATTATTACAGATTTTATTCAAAATTTTAACAGTTTATTACAATAAGCATTTTACGGAGTAGGGTTCTTAATATGTATTTTTTTACAGGAAAATTGTATATTTTACCTATTAATGATTACTGACCCTAAATTTTATTTTTTATCTGTGATTTAATTGTTAATTATTAATTTAAAAACGAAATAAAAATCGATGGTCTAGTAGTTGCCTACGCAGTGCACAATTTTTATTTTATTTAGATTCCTAGCAAATTAATAAAGTGTAAAAAAAAAACTATCTGACTTATTCTAAATTAAATACGATCAAGTAAGAGAAAACACCATCAAAAACTAATTTATTTGTCCATCCATTTTTTGGGTGAGGGCAAAAATATCTAATTTCTCAAAGCTTTTTTGAGCTTGACTAATGCTGTCAATTCAAACTCACAGAGCTATAATATGCAAAGAAAAAAGACAGAAGAATTTTAATAGTTTTCAAGCATATGGAGGAGTATAACTTTTTGTAAGAAAGCCAAAACTCAAACAATTTTCTTCTGAATATAGTTATAGCTTATTTACGTCGCACAAGGGCTGCATAATGGGCTATTGGCGACGGTCTGAGAAATATCCCTGAGGATGATCCGAAGACACGCCATCACAATTTTGATCCTCTGCAGAAGGGATGGCACCCCAACTTCGGTAGCTCGACCACCTGCGCGCGAAGTACAGTACTTTATGGTAGAACAGTTTAACGAAGACCAATACCACGCACCTTCAGTCCCTTTGCAGGCTGATCAAAGAGGTCATTCACTCGTGGACTGACAGCAGGCAGTGATGCTTGACTTCGGTGATCTGCTGGGAACCGTGTCTTAACGATCAGTCCACCGCGGATCATTTTTGCCCGAATGAATTTGAACTATTAAACGTATCGCTTCTCAAATCAAAGAGTTGTTCTTTTTCTGCTGTAAATTTTGATGTCTAGCAAATGTGTTGATTTAAGTATTGACATGGCTATTCGTCAACTAAACAAGAAGAAAAGTAGCATTTGAGTGATGTTTGAAAGTTGCCAATGATTAAAATGAAGTCGCAGATTTGGAGACCTCAAAAAATTACTTTTTGCTCAGATTGTCTGATCCCTTAAATTACCATGATAAAAATACAATGTAGTCAGTTTTCAATCAATCACTAGATTAGCAAAGCATCAACAATTTATTAATTTGACCATCGAATTAGAACACCTCAACTTGCACTCGTTCCAATGCTAATTGTTAACTTCAAAGTTAATAAGACTATGTATTAAGGGTGTTCATTTCTTATGAAGACCCTACATAGAGTATTTTTCATGTTCTGCAAAATAACAGGTTTATGGGGAATTAGTTTTCTGCTTTCCATTGTTTTATTGCATCAATTTTATCTGATTAGTTATAGGCATTTTTTAAAATAATAAAAGCCTACACTAATTTTAACTGTCACTTAAATGATACGCTTTTTTTAACGTTCATATACACACAGAATGCTCTGTTTTCATTTATTGTGTTTCAATAAAAGAAGATTTTTTTTGTATTAGTAAATAAGATTTCATCTATGATATAGAATTTGAATTATCAAAATAATTTAAATTTTTGAATTACAAGCTGGAACTGAAATAAAAATTGCCTCTTTTTCCACAAATATTCCTAAAATCTTTATACTTTTACGTATGTTCTATACAAAGGGTCGGAATGGCCATAGACCTGAAAAAGTGATCGCTCCCTGGCCCTCAGCCAAAGTGGTGGACCTTCCTTAAAGGTGGGGCCCTCTGACCCCATGTGCTCTTGGACAAAAAAGAAAGCATTTAAAATTTTTTATATAGTTTTAAAACACACTTTGTTGTACTTTGTTTTATTATTTGCATTATGAATAACATATTAAATAATATTTTTATTTAATTAATGAGTCTGAAGCTACTTAAGTTCGCCGTTATTTAAATAACAACAGGGAACTGCATCTTCAGCGTAATGCA